TATTTATGTAAAATTCAAAATATTCTTGGCTATTTTTTGCAACAGTGTTGTAATAGATCAAAGAGCTGCCAGCCAAGAGTTATTCAGGGGTTACAGGATCACTCCAGTAAATGTCCCATCTGTTCACCTTGCCCAGCCGAAAAAAAATGCTGCATATGACCAGTGAATAAAAAAGCACCAGCCTTCCCTCTTGCAGAGAACATATTATTAGAACAGCACTAGGCAGCTCTCAACACCATCAAGAAACAAACATGTTTCATACTTTTTTGTTGACTTAGCTGTAGTTTTTCTGTTGGGCTTGGTAATATCTCACTTAGCAACCTCAGCAAATCTGATCAGATTTCATAGGTAGCCCCAATTATGAATGCAGCATTCAAACAGCAAAATGCCATGGGAAATGCTTCAGTGCAATTATACAAGGTAAAGTGTTAATCCAAGATAGAATGATAGCTGCTGGGTAAAAAATAAGTTCTGCCTGAAAACCCTTGATGGCAAATGGATAAAATGTATAACCTGGAAGCCATGCCAGTCAAAAGAAGTGATAGCAGAGAAAACTTCTGTTGGGAATTCCCATGCATTCCATCCTCTCATGGTTTCCCATTGTCCCCATAAGTCAATCAATATTCTACAGCCAGTGATCTTGATTGATTGATTGATTTAATAATTTATTGACTTATTTATATCCTGCCTTTATTATTTTCATAAACAACTCAAAGCAGTGAACATAACTAATACTTTTTCCTTGTTCTACTGTGTTTCTCCGACAATATTAACAGCTGCAAGGGTTTTGTACGCACAACTCTGGAAGGAAAAAAGGGTTCCACCGGAAGGCATGGTTATAAAAATAATAATAAATTGTATAGAGATGGACAGGCTAACAATGAAATTAAAAGACAGAGTAGATTCAATTTATTATAGGGCCTGGGATGCCTGGTATGAGTGGTTTAGAAATAAAAATAAAATAAAATGGCAATTAGGAAAAGAATGAGGGAATATGTAAATATGTAAATACACCATGGAGAAGATTGAGATGTAAGGATAAAAGATATTGATTTATAGCAAGAGTAAGATGTAATGGTAAAGGAATAAGTAAATACATATACTGAAAAATGTGAGGAGATGCAAAAGATGTCTTGATGTTGATAACAATGTATAAAGTTTTATTTTGTTTTTAAAATTTGGAAACTTAATAAAAAAAATTTTTTTTTAAAAATGAAGATTTGCGCTGCATTTCTGCTTCCTGAGCCAGCCGCTCTTCTTTGTCCCCTCAGATAGCCCTATTTCCCCCCAGAGATGTGTATCATCTTATTCTATGGGCAAACTACAGGAATGGAGTGAGGTGGGTACCGTATTTGCGCAAACCACGCCACAGACCACAATGTCTGTGCAGAAGCCAAAACTATATTTGTGAATTACCCTCGCCCTTGTACTGACTGAAAGAGAGACGCCAAAATACCCCACCAAGCACACAAGGGAGAGCTGAAGCCGGACTCCACCACCTGTCAGTGGTCGGGCTGCAAGCAAAACCTCGAGAAGAAGGTAGGAGAAAGGTGGGCTGTTTAGCTCGCAGTTTTACGGACAGCAACCTCGAAGCATGCCTTCCCCCTGGAAGACGCTAGTGAATGGCAAGGGGCACAAAGATCCCCCCGACCTCCCTTTGAAACCAGTTGAGCAATTGAGTAAACTGCGAGTTCCCTTAGTTGGCAGCCTAAGCGGAGGGCCCCGGAACTGCCCATTGCAGGTGAAAGATGGAATCAGCTTCTTTAGTGACCCTCCTGCGACCCATTCCGTCCAAGTGGTTGCAGTGGGAAATCGGGGATGGGTGGAAATAGGGCTATCTGAGGGGACGAAGAAGAGCGGCTGGCTCGGGAAGCAGAAATGCAGCAGGAATCTTGAGATCCTCTGATATTTACTCTGACAACAGTATATGTACGTGATTGAGTTTGCAGTTGAGAACCCGATGCATAGCCATGCCTCGCCATGGGGCCGCTTCTATCGGCCGATAGAAGTGGCCTCGTGGCGAGGTGAGTACGTGTGGCGCTCTAAGTGGGGGTGTGCATGGGAGGAAATTAAGTCACCCCCGAAAAGACGCCCTAGCCGTTTTTTCAGGGCTCAAAAAAAATAAGGTGTTTTCCCCACAAAAACGCTGTTGAAATGAGAGACAATATCTGACTCACAGTCATGTAGCTGGCTTTCATATCTAAAGTGGAACTAGAACTCACAGTCTCCTGGTTTCTAATCTGGTGCCTTAACCACTAGACCAGACTACACTATCTTAACTTACATTAGGTTGCCTTGATTTACCCCTCCACAGCCTTTCTCTCCTACAGATGCTGCAGTTGCTCCTTGACAGACATAAGCTGTTCCATTTTGATATGTAACTGATAGGACTTGCAACTTGTACATTATCAGTGATGAACTACTGGAAACAGTTTAAACTGAGTTCTTGGTTAGATGTAATATTCCAGACTAACAATTAAACTTATATTGTGTACCTGATTCACAAACTTAAAACCTTCTTTGAACATACATAGAAAATTATTCATCTTATTATAAGAAATGATTCATGCAATTCAAGTATTGTAAGCAAAGGATATGCAACCCCTTTCTGATTTTTGGAATCTTTAAATTTAGGTAGTTTTGGAATCTTTAAATTTAGGTAGTTGTTATTTTAAATAACTTTTAGATGAATTATTTGGGGAGCTAAATCATGGTCAGTCACTCTGTCTCAGTTCAACCCAACTCAAAGGGTTGTTGTTATGGGGAAGATAGGAGAAAGGAGGAATATTAGATATGTTCACCGCCTTCAGTTATTTATAAAAATAATAAAAGTGAAATAGAAGTAAGTAAATGGTAGTTACCTTTGCTTAAGAACTAGAATAAAAGCTTTGTTGTGTAGCAAATTTAAAAGACTTTGATCTGCTTTGAATAGAAAATAATAAATAATTTGTGTAATGCTTATCGATCAATGCTGCTCCTGTTATGTATTTTTTTTTAAAATTTATACTCCATTTTCCTTGAGGATTTCAAGAGGGATACATAGCTTCCCTTTTCCAAACTTTCTTTGCGTAATAACTGTGCTTGAGGGAAGTTAGGCTGAAAAATGTCAAGAGTGAAGCTGGAATCCAGGTTTTCCCATATGTTTTCCTACTTTCACCACATGGACTCCTTTTCTTTGAATAGGGGGTCTCTGAGAACTGCGTTCTGAAGTTAGACTAGATCGGTGTTTCTCAACCTTGGCAAGATGTGCAGACTTCTTGCTCATGCTAGCTGGGAAATTCTGGGAAATGAACTCCACACTTCTTAAAGCCATGGTTGACAAAACATTGGATTAGAGGCATGTCAAGTACAATATATAAAAGAAGGTCCAAAGCAGCATACTTCCATTGCTTTTTTCATCTCCATGCAAAAACAGTCCTTCCTGGTATCAACAAACTCATGATCTGATCTGTAAAAAGCAGATTCTTATGCTTCTCAATGTCATGCCATTCAGCCATCTCATATGTTGCACTCCTACTGTTGTATGTTATTAGGTGATATGAAATAGGAGTGTGGAAACCTGGCATCAAACAACAAAAATCTAAGCAGAGAGGGAATCCTGCTCATTCTGACTGAAAAGATTTAGATATTTGCTGCAACCACTAACATTTACCCAGAGTTACTGTGGAAAAAAAATATATTTGCAATTCTCAGTAAAATGACCTATGTCAATAGCAGAGTACTTTGAAATTGAAGTATAGATTGGCAGGAAAAAGAAGAGAAAGGAAGGGGGAAGTAAAATGCTGTGGAATCATCATTTAGATAAATTCTTCTGGACAGAATGCAGTGGGAAGAAAATGAGATCTGCTGTTGAAATCTGAGCAAATTTATATTATACCTATTTTGATTCTGGGGTTTATTATTTTGTTATTATTGCAAACAATCCAAAATATTGATAAAGGATGGGAGTGAGGTATAAAAAAGATGAAGCATTTCTTTTCAAACAAAACAATATAGCAGGCTTGTAAAAAGCCAGATTCTGAAACTAGTAGGAGTTGCATACTGAACTGCCTTTCTGTGGAATAGTGTTTAAAGTTGAAGTGTGCTTATCATTGCACTTGTTGAATCTTATCTCAAAGAATAAATCCATGATAAGACTCATGCAATTAAACTCTTACAAATACTCAGGCATACTCCAATATCTGAAGGGCCTAATAATGCAGCTTTCGAAAACCAATAGGAGGTTTAATTCTTTCCCTCCGGAAAGGCTTAATTACCCCACTGAGACAAAACTCTGAACAGAAGAACATTATAGATGTATATGTGTGGCATCTTAGAGATATAATTAAACAGTAACATTTCCATGCAGAAAGTCCCTGGTTCTAAACCTAGCATAAGAGCCATGGTGGTGCAGTGATTAGAATGCAGTACTGCAGGCTACTTCTGCTGACTGCTGGCAGCCTGCAGTTTGGCAGTTCAAATCTCACAGGGTCAAGGTTGACTCAGCCTTCCATTCTTCCGAGGTCAGTAAAATGAAGACCCAGATTGTTGGTGGCAATATGTGACTCTTTAAACCTCTTCGAGGGGGCTGTAAAGCACTGTGAAGAGGTATATAAGTCTAAGTGCTATTGCTATCTCATGACACAGAAGTGGGAATATCTGCTTATCAAAATCCTAGGGGAACCAATGATATGTCCTGCTGTAATCCAAGTTTCTTTGTTACTGATCAGGAGAATTTGTTTCCTTTATCCCATGTCTACCAAAATTAAGACATAAGAGTTTTGATATATATCAGAAGGCACAAGCTTTGCATGCAAATAGTCTTATTCCAGTCTGGTTAAACATTTGGGCACCAAAAGAAAGGAAAGATCTCTATCTATGGCTCTGGAGAGCTCTTACTAATCAAATTAGATGATGCTAGGCTGTACAATAGGAAAAATTAGAACAATTTTGCAGAACATGTAGGAGTTTAAATCAAATAGTAAATAAACAATTTAACTTATAATCTTTCATCTTTTCAGTATGCTACCACAGGCTGTTCCCTGACACTCCATCATACAGAAAAGCCAGATCATGAAGACATTTGTGAGTATCGCCCTTACTCCTGCCCGTGCCCAGGAGCATCATGCAAATGGCAAGGCTCCTTGGAAGCTGTAATGTCTCATCTAATGCACGCTCACAAGAGTATCACAACTCTTCAAGGAGAAGACATTGTCTTCCTCGCCACAGACATTAACTTGCCAGGAGCCGTTGATTGGGTGATGATGCAGTCATGCTTCGGCCATCACTTCATGCTGGTTTTGGAGAAACAGGAGAAGTATGAGGGCCATCAACAGTTCTTTGCCATAGTCTTGCTCATTGGCACTCGCAAACAAGCAGAGAATTTTGCATACAGGCTCGAACTGAATGGCAACAGACGGAGGCTGACATGGGAAGCAACACCACGCTCCATCCATGATGGGGTGGCAGCAGCTATCATGAACAGTGATTGTCTTGTGTTTGACACTGCCATAGCACATCTATTTGCAGATAACGGGAACCTTGGAATCAATGTGACTATTTCTACATGTTGTCCGTGATTTTTTTGTGTAACTTGTGAAACCATGTGGTTTCTCTGGGCATAGTGCTTTCATGTTTTGCTGAGTCATTTTTTTAAAAAAAGGTATTCAACTGTTGACCTGTCTTTTCCTTCTCATGCAGATCATAAGTACATGAGGCAGAGCAGGAATTTGCCACCAGTGCCATCACAAACCTATCATTCACTTTGGAGTGATGTATCTGTAGTGTAATCTATATATGTACACTCCCTCCATTATATGAAATCCTGCACAAATGTTAATCACTGGTGGCAATACACCCACATAGGGAGTGTGTATCTTCATAATAATACAAGTCTTACCCTGACATTTTAATAAACTATATTCATTGGGAATTTTAAAATAAAATTTATCATAATAGTTACTAAAGCAAAACCAATGCCCTTTTAATCCAAAAGGAAAGAGATATATTTTTAAGAGGTTCACTGGAGTTTTTTAGAGGGAGAAACAATGTCATCATCTTAAAACAAAACTTCTTTTTTAAACATAGGGAATAAAAAAGGTGGGGCAGCCATCAGAGGTAGTAGATCTTCAATGCCTAAAGAGTCCATGCACTAGTTTGGAAAAATGAATAGATTACAGCACTTCTGGTTACAAGCAGGAAACACAAATTTAAACAATTCCATGCAACAAAAACATGGTACAGCAAAAATAATGTCACTAAATTACAGCTTCTCTCCTAAAAGGCTGTGCTACTTAAGGGATTTTTTTTTTCTGTGAGGGAATTTTTGAAAATGTGACCCACAACCTGGAGTCTATTTCTACAATCTCAGTACTTTGATGGTTCACTATATTTCATCTTCAGGAAGGGACAGCACACTGCTTCAAACAACTTATAAAACTCTTGACCATCTTTGTAGCAAAATATTAAAAGGAAAGAATAAATGAACAGGATGTGACAGTGTTGGAATTGCTTTATTTTTAAGCTTTTTACACACAGGAATTAATGGATATTACATTTTACACAGTAATGCACACAAGAGAAAAGGTTTACTTTATCAAGTGAGTTTTCTTGCTTTTTTTCTAGCTAATGAATTGGTTAAGTTTTAATCTTTTAAAAAATGAATGTTTTCTGTTAGGAATGAAGACTTGGATCTCTGCACAGTGGGCCCACTTCATCTACTCATCTTTCTATTTCTACAAGAGTTAAAGAGACTGTGTCAGAGCTGTTTACCTAAGGAGTTGTAAAACACACACGCATGTACACTCAAACATGGCATACTTCACATATACATTAATATTCTAAAAAGGGATCTAGAATAACAAGGGAAATTGATATAAGGGTAGTCTTCTTTTCTGCTATTTAATTTTTTTTTCTGTTGGCATAGCCATATTTACTCTAGTTTTCTAAATAAACCTTTTGCAAAAAAAAAAAAACAACCTTGTGTGGGCTCTTTTACTGAGTAGAAAAAGAATACCTGAGCATCAACTTTGCATTCATATTGTAGCTGCCAAGGACAAATAAATCTCAGTGGGATAGCACATCTTATGCACTGGTCTAGTAAGCTTTTCCTATCACAGAGACTGTCAGTGAACAGACATGGAATTTATTCTAATAGAACTGCATTCCCATGATGTCACATGGTCATGACATTTGTCACAACAATGAAGTCATTCTGCACGACCATTACTGTCACCACAGATCCCCATGCTTCTCATCTAGCTTTCTGACTGAAAATATAGGTGTTCATAATCCATACTAAGAATGATAATAGACTGGGGAAGGTTGAAGTTAACTCTTGGAGTTCAGGAGACCAGTTGCTTTAGTTTTAGACATGTTTGACTTTTTCTCTCTAATAATACATATTGAGTTTTATCAAACATCAATGTAGAAATAAATTAAGAAAATTGAGTGTTATACAACATAAAAGCACCTGGTTTAATCTTTGGTAGTGCTAGGAACTTTCTCCATTGAGCTGCTCCAAGCATCCAGAGAGTGGGAAATAGTCTCTGCTCGGATAGGCTGGGCTTAACTGTTAGGACGCTGTTGCTGCTCCCTGGCTCCTCCCTAGTGTCCCCCAGTTTTAGCTCAGCCTTCGGTGCGATAGACAGCTTATCCTTGGCCGGAGCAGGATTGAAAGGTTTGAATTAGTTTGATCAGAACAGATTTCCAAATTTAGGTTTCTATTTACTAAGTTCCGAATGCAATTGGCAAGAAAGCAGTCGGAACGACAGAAAGCAGATTGCCTTGGCGATCTGGCTGCTTTCCCTGGTCATGCAGCAGTTGCTTCTCTGGGAGAGAATGCTGTTTTACATTTCTTTGCCAAACGCCTTTGCCTTGCCATTGTGATTCGACCTGCAAGCCTCTTTTAAGAAAGCGTGCTTATTTTTCTCTAATTCATTTTGCCGGTGGTGATTTCCTCCCCTTGGAGAACACAGGGGATGGGGGCATCGAAGCCTCTCTTATCCCCTCCTCACCGCTCAGTCACACAGTAGCTTTTTTATCAGACAGGTTGAGTGGCAGAGGCTGCTACTGTGTTCGCACCTAAAAAAATAAGGCCAGCACCATTTTCCTTAGGGACCTGCAGACCATTTTGGTGCACTTTTTAATGGACACCGCCATTTTTCCACATTGCATCATGGGGCCGTTCACTGGTTCGCCAGTACCCTGTGAGAGGCTTTAATCACCTCTAAGCACACTGTAGTTACAGAGGGAAATAAGGACATTTAACTCCCTTTACTCCGGTTTCGGGGAGGTAAAAAGCTTTGTTGTTGTTGGCTACCGTCACAAGATATATATGTGTGTGTGTGTGTTTTCTTAAGTTTTCGCGGGTGCTTACATATATGGTATTCAGCTTTGTTCGGGTATTTTCCCACATCATTATAGTTGTGCTTTTAAAGTTGTAGCAACGTTTCGACAGAATCTCATTGCCATCATCAGGCTTTTGTATAGTGTATACTATACAGTATACTGTACACTATACAGAAGCCTGATGATGGCAGATGAGATTCTGCCGAAACGTTGCTACAACTTTAAAAGCACAATTATAATGACGTGGGAAAATACCTGAACAAAGCTGAATACCATACATATAAATACCCGCGAAAACTTAAGAAAAAACACACACACACACATATATATATATACACATATATACACATATATATACATATACATATACACACACACACACACAATTATAACCTACTAGATTCCTCATTGTTGAGGAAATTAAAGAAGTACAATGACAAGCAGAGGCGGCGCTAAGGCACAGACCCATGATAAGTCCAAAAAAGCTAAGGGTCCTTCAAAGGCAGCAGAGAAAGATGCTTCCCGATGCCAAATGGCACTGGAAAGGCAAATTAATAAACGCACAAGAGAGACTGAGCGGTCTTCCCAGCCTCCCCCTCCAACGCCACTGCCTCAGCCTCAACCCACCCCAGCAGCATTAGATCTGTCCATGCCTACTAGGCCTACTAATTTTGTCCAGGCCTCATCAGGAGTTCAGGTTTCACGTCAAGTCCCCGAGGCGACTTTCACCCTGACAGTGGCGGGCCTACACCAGGAGGAATTGCTGCCAGACGAGATTCCAGAAACAATGAAAGCATGGATGGAGCTGGCAATCCACAGGGGGATCGCAACGGAGGTGCAACAATCTATGATGGCCAGGCAGAGACCAGTGTCAGAATGTGACTCACAATCAGTAAGATCTCTATGCAGAACTGACCTGCATTATCCTCAGGCACCTCCTCAAGGGGAGCTTTCTATGATTTCCAATACACATTCACACAAATTCCAGGAGGAGGGAGAGGAGAGGATCAAATGGACCAATTAGAGGCAGTCTCAGTTCATGATAGTGAAGCCTCCCCAGAGGCTGGGCCCCTAGAAAGAGGCATGTCTGATGACGACATCAAGCCTGACCAACCTACTTTTACAGGACTGTTTCACCCCCAACTGTTCAGATCTCTCGTCTTTAAGGCAAAAACCACAGCTCACCTTGAAAAATCTTCTATTCCACAACCAGAATCTCTAGGAGAATTGGATGGTCTGGTTTTCTCACAGCCCATTAATGAGGTTGAGGTTATTCCAGTTCCACAAATGTTTTCAGACCTGATCCAGAAACAGTGGACCTGAGCAGCAGTGTATCCAGCTCCTACAAGTTTCGATAAAAAATTCTTAAATTTAGCTTCGGAATTCTCTGATTCCCTGAGTACCCTGGAAGTAGACGAGCCAGTAGTGACTTTGGCATCCTCCTCCGCTATTCCCACCAAGGTGGAGGAGGCCCTTAAACCAGAGGAGAAGAAAGCTGAGATCGTTCTCAGAAAGGCACATCAATCCGATGCATGGGCCATAAGGGCGGCAATGGTCCTTCACTAGACCATCCCTCAGATGGCTCTGCCAACTAAGGGACACCATACCAAATTCTAATATTAGAGTGCATCAGGACATCGCCAAATTGATTGCAGCTGCAGAGTTTTCGGCGGATGCTATTTTCATTCGGTCAAATTTTCAGCTCAGGCCATAGCATCACAGGTTACAGCTCACCATTTGCTTTGGCTGAGACATTGGCAAGCCAATTCCAAACATAAATGGAAGTTAGCTTCCTCCCCAATTTCAGGTGACATTATTTGGTACTGCCCTGGATCCGCTGTTAATTGAGACTAGAAGTAAGAAGAAGATTCTCCCCTCCCTCCTTCAGCGCTCAGACAGCAGGAACTATCAGCCCTTTTGGAGAGGCTCCTTTCGTCCCTATTATCAAGGTCCATTCTCCCCTGGATTCCAGAGGGTATCAGGATATAGGGGAGCCCAGCAGTCTGATAGATCAGAATTCTCCGACAGACCTCGTGGGGGGGACAGGGGAAGAGACCTTTTAGGGGGACAGGAAACAGAGGTTTTCATCATCCACAATAAATCTAGCGATCTCGCTCCCATTGGAGGATGATTGATACTCTTTGCAGACCGTTGGGAATCTTCCACATCAGATTCCTGGGTGCGCGACACCATCAGATTTGGCTTGGCTCTAGAGTTCCACTCCACACCCCCAAACTTTTTCATGAAATGCCCTATTTCCAGGAATCCTGTTAAACCGAACCTGATGGAGACAGCGATCAATCACTTACTAGAAATCAAAGCCATCCAACCGGTATCCTGGGATCAACAGGGACGGGTTCTATTCACTAGTTTTTGTAGTCCCTAAGAGTTTGGGGGGATGGAGGGCAATCCTAGATTTAAAGTGACTTAACCAAACTCTAGTCTATCGCAAATTTAAAATGAGTATGTTACAATCCATTCTGCTTAGCATAAGAAAGGGTGACTTTTTAACTTCCAAAGATTTAACAGAGGCCTAGTTACACATACCAATCAGACCTTCACACACCAAATTTCTCAGGTTCTGCTACAACAACTAGCATTTTGAATACGTCACTCTGCCCTTTGGGTTGTCATCTGCCTCCAGGACTTTTACAAAGGTTCTGGCAGCCCTGGCCGCTCACCTTAGGATCGCTCCTGTGAGACTCCAGTGCTACCTGGATGACATCTTGATATTATCTTCCTCAACCAAGCAGGCAGAATTGGATACTCAAATTACATTGCGAACCCTGCAACATCATGGTTTCTCCATTAATTGGGCAAAGAGTCAATTGTCTCCCTCCAC